GTCGAATTTTATGTGTCGCAGTCCACGAATACCTGGCGTTCACACTAACGCCCTACCTTCACGACAGGTGTTTGTGCGGGGGGGTCTGCTCTTGTGGGTCGGGGACGGGCCAGGTCGGGCTAAAGTGCTCGGCTCCAAAGCATGCAACAACTTCTCGAGGTTCCCGTGTCCGTACTGCATGGTTGAGCAACGCGACAACATTACCGGGGGGGACCTGGGAGATGCCCAGTACGACATCGAAGCAAATCGACGTACCTGAGATCACGGCCGGGTTCGATACGCTAAAGTCCCTCGCAGACAACCCCGTCGAGCAGTCTCGACAATCGATGGTACTGGGGCTTGTCGCACACTCCAACGGCCCCTCCCTGCCCATGTACGACTCAATGCTCACCGTCCCCACCGCGGTTGTCCCTGTGGAGCGGCTGCACTTCGATGCCCAGGTGAGAGTTTGATATCGAATGCGGAACGGACAAGGGTAGCGCAATGTTTGCCGTGCCGGAAATAGGTAACCTCGTTTACACACCCCCATGTCCGTTCGCGATTGATATAGGAATCTCCGGGTATTTGTTGCCAGGGCGTTGTGTCGTGTTTCCTCGAGTAGTAGGGCCTCCAATGGCGACACGGTTGAGCGTGTCTCTTTCAAACGATAAATACAACGCACGAACCGTGTGTGTTATTTTTGTTTTGCAGGGGTCCTGCCAGCTGTGCCAAGTTTCCTGCCTCGAGATGTTGTCAACTCAGGGTCGACCGCTGGTCTCGGCGGTCGTGGCTCATNTTGCAGGGGTCCTGCCAGCTGTGCCAAGTGTCCTGCCTCGAGATGCTGTCAACTCAAGGTCGGCGGCTGGTCTCGGCGGTCGTGGCTCAGAACCCTTCTCTGCTATACCCAGCTGGCACGGAGCGTCTCAAAGATATCGTGACCAACTACTCGTCTCTCACTGGGAGCGACAAGTGGACACTGCAGTCCATCATGCTGCTCGTCTTCCGACCGATTCTTGCAAATGTCGGAGCCATGGTGAGGTTTTTCACATTAGCGCCCGGAGGGGGGAGGAGACCTCTGCTTTGTGTTGATCGTATCGCATGAATAGGAGAGTACGTATACGACATGATAGTTGCCGATGGTCCGTCTTACGAAAAAGATACAGATAAATGAACATGGCTGGGCTGGACGAAATAGGAGCAAGGTACAGAGACATGTTTGAGGCATGGAATTTAGCACGAGAGACGGTAGCTATGCTGGGGCACAGGAATGGGGCTGGCAAGGCGGGAAGTGCTCTTGATGGGATAGGTAGATACAGGAAAACCACATTCGGCAAGTAAGCAGGAACAATTTNGAATTTAGCACGAGAGACGGTAGCTATGCTGGGGCACAGGAATGGGGCTGGCAAGGCGGGAAGTGCTCTTGATGGGATAGGTAGATACAGGAAAACCACATTCGGCAAGTAAGCAGGAACAATTTGCCATCGGTGATCGGTCCTCCCGAGTACCCGTGGTCAATTAATAGTCTAGCAGTAACAACTAGGGCGTGCGAGACAGGGGGACGCCGCCCCCCCCATTCCACGGCATTGGTGAAGCTTGAGGCACGGCGCCCATAGTCCTCCTCTGCGTGCACCCTGCAAGCACGGGGCGACATGTGCAACCCGGTATTTCCAAGAAAACCTCTCCGCCCTATTCTCGAAGCGACGTACAATATCCGGATTAACCCCCCCTCCGAACCCATTCCTGTGGCGATTTGTCGACAAAACTTGCACCCTCGCAGAAGAAGTACATGAAGAGGCAGGACATCGCCGAATTGAAAGACATTCGGGGGACAGACGAGAAGGTGCTCGAGGTGCTTCAGAAGCTGATACAGGTGGCGTCACACCTGTCATGCGCTGTGCGTGCGCCTTCTCACAACGATCTGGAGCTAGCCCAACTCGACCTTCTCGCGCGTGACGTGGTAAGTCTTTCTGACCTCTATTATTCCTGTGACGGGCATTGGTGTGCATGGTTTTGAGCGGCATACAATAGATTGGGGTGCTTGCGTCACGGCGGTCTCCTTTTATCCCATCCTGCATTGGGCTTTGTTTTGTTTTGGGGTGCACACACCATATAGGAAAGATTGCCATGCTCTGCGATCCAATATCGTTGGAAAGCGTGTTCCTGATATCATGCCGGTGCCCATGGCACCTCGCTCATNGGTGTGCATGGTTTTGAGCGGCATACAATAGATTGGGGTGCTTGCGTCACGGCGGTCTCCTTTTATCCCATCCTGCATTGGGCTTTGTTTTGTTTTGGGGTGCACACACCATATAGGAAAGATTGCCATGCTCTGCGATCCAATATCGTTGGAAAGCGTGTTCCTGATATCATGCCGGTGCCCATGGCACCTCGCTCATACACACCCTAAAAAAAAACGCCGATGCACGAAAGCGCCTCAAAACGCACCCGGGTGATCGCGTTTGTCGTCACCCCTACCAGCGAAAAACACCTCGGCGTTTGCTTTATTCGTTTTGCTTTTGGGTAGCCGCTAATTGATCCTTCTTCCGCGACCTGCAAATCGACGCATTCCCGCAACGTGTTTTATATGGTGCCACTCCTGCCACCGCCGTTGCTACTATTCGCCGTCGTCGCAGCCGTTAGAAAGGCCAGACATCGTGCGTTCCAGCGACAGAGGCCACCGTGCAAGTGTGTTTTTTTGCGTGTCCGGGGGAGGCCCAATAGACGAATGAGACACAGCTCTAATGACGCTGCACCCCGGGTTATTTTTGAGCTTGTTTTCTTCGCCCGTCTACATTTGGAAACGTCCGAACTCCTTCCACACAAGAACACGGCTTTTCGCGTTTAATATTACTTGAACGTTGCAAAATATCAAGTAAAGCTATGACAGTTTCGGACCCCAAAAAAAAATTATTTAAGGAAATATATTTCCAGTTAAGCCATCGTTCCCAGGATCGTTCCCGACAGTCTCGCCAGAACCCGAAATAAGGAAAAAATATTTCGATTCTAGAGCGGAGCGAGGCTCGTTTTGCGGAAAATTTTGCNTTATTTAAGGAAATATATTTCCAGTTAAGCCATCGTTCCCAGGATCGTTCCCGACAGTCTCGCCAGAACCCGAAATAAGGAAAAAATATTTCGATTCTACAGTAGAGCGGAGCGAGGCTCGTTTTGCGGAAAATTTTGCCAAGAAAACTATTT